GAGGGGGGGGGGGGGTGAGCAATACCAGAAATAAACATTAAAGCAGACAACAAGAGCAAAAAATATCAGACAATGGAGAAATTATAACCCTACATTTAATTTGAGATCTATGATTAGACTTAGCTGTAGACTATGATTTGAGAATGAATCGTTAAGTCTACCTCCACGAAAGTCCCATAGGGAAAATAATACTATAGGGTCATATGTGGTTATTTGTTACATTGTAACTTTGCTGCTCTTTGCCACATTCTGTTGGTGTGTTGGAAGGTCATCTAGCCAAGGTAGATCTACTGAAGAAAGGAGACACTCGCTACTTATTTATGATGAAAAATACCTTTTACTATCTCGCTGATCAATATCTGGTAATTGGAAGAGGCTTCTTGAGCTCAGGGAGAAAGGTGAAACCTGTCAGGTGGACATATCAAAACACCTGGATGAATGAAAATGTAAACTATTCAAATATCCCCAATGCTCGCCTCTAGACATTCCAGGGCTGTTTAGAAAAATGTGGACGCCATTAAGAATACATACATGTAGATGGTTTAAGCTGGGCTGACAGAGATCACACGCATTGGTCATTTTACATTGCAAGTTTACAAGCTGCTGACAATTCACTCATTGTTTCAGAGATGAGTGAAAACTACGCGGGCTCCTTTCTGAAAAATAACATTAATAATTTCATAGAGATTGCCCTCCGCGCTTTATTATTTTTTTTTTCCCTACGTTTTGTAGATTACCACTCCACAGTCAATTTGATTCCTTCGACAGAAGATCTGCCTCTTCAGATCATTTTTTTTTTTCTCTCTCTCCCTCTCTGCTGACTTTTTTTTTTTTCTGGAGATTATTTTGCTTTTCCTGTCTCAGTTGTTGGCAAGAAGCTCTGCACACGCGGTGCTTGTAAACATTCAGACACGAGGATTTTTCCCAATCAAAATCCACTTCCACTTTTTTGAAAATCTTCCAAAAAATAGTAAAAGAGAGAGAGAGAGCGAGAGAGGGAGCGGAAGGGATTTCCTCTGCCAGCTGCAAACGAGGAGAAGTTTTGAAAGAAGAGTTTGGGAGAGATTTCTTTGAAAGGGGCTGCTGCCTGGAACATCAGATGTCCCCGTGCAGCACACACACTGTGTGCCTGCTCTCACAGGGCTCCATGGAGCAGCTCGCTACAGCAGGACAGAAGCAGCACAGGGAGCAGACACAGACCCTCAGCTCGCGTTGCCTTATGCAAACCACAAAGCGTTGATCCTTTGCTAAACCTTGCACCTAAAGGTTGCAGCATTCAAACTTCCCTGATAAAGAAGAGTTGCCTTTCAAAGCACCGTGCCTCGTTTGCTGCATTTAGGTTCATTTGACATGCACACTTGAGTTCATTGCTACGCGATCCCTGTCATATGTCCAGTGTGGATCCCTCAAAGGCGTTTTATGCACACAATCTCTCTGCTTTTCTTTCCAAAAAGAAAAAAAGTATCTGATATCTACGAACTAGAAGAAAGTGAGAGCTGTTAAGTGAAGATGAAATTACTTTTCTTTTTTTTTTTTCCCTCCCTTCCTCACCTTTGCAAGAAACATCTGTGAAGCTACGTCTGCCTGCAGGTAAAGCATGGATTAAGCAAGGTACTTACGTGAGTATTCCCGTTTGCTTAAGTGCTGGGGCTTGCCTTGCTTGCGGCGAGACATGTTGGTTGGTGGGTGGCTTGCGAGAGCTCGGTTCACATCGGGAGAGCAGGGTTAGAGAGAAGGAGACTCCAGAGAAAATATCTTCATCAAATGCCTTTGACATCCAAAATAAATTAGAAATAATACAAAGAGGGTGCGGGGAAGATGAATTGTGGGACAGCCGTCTTCCCTTTTTTTTTTTTTTTCTTTTTGGAGGGGGGTGAAAAAAAAAGAAGAGAGAGAGATAGAGAAGGAGAGAAATGAAAAAAATGGCAAAAGCCCCCCTGAGCTGCAAGTTCAAGTGCGGACGTGACGTCCCTGCAAACTTGAACGTCAGGAGCTGGATGGACAGAGACATACAAAACATGGGCAGGGCCAGGGGGAGAGAAGAGGAGGAGGGACGGCAACACCAATGGACACTCATAAGGGGCTGGACAGGAAAACCAGACCCGGGCAAGCCAATGGACAGTGATCGGAAGGAGAGGGGGTGGGAATGAGGGCACTCACAGTACAAGGGGGAGGGTGAGGAGAGATGGGGCTAGACACAAGCTGCTGCTTATTGAAAGAAGAGAAAAAAAAAAAAATAAAGAAGCACAATGTTGAGCAGGAATCTGATCCTGCTGTGGAGATAGCATAGGAGGAAAGAGATCACAGCCTCTATCACATAAACACACTCTATACGTCCAACCCTGAGAGATCCAAACAAACACTCACAGGCTGCATTCAAGGGACACGGGGGATCTGCAGAGAAGAAAGGTGACACACTAGATGATGCTGTACTAGAAAAGGCAGCCCAGGTCAATGATGAACAGGAAGGGGGGAAAAAACACACACACAACTATGCGCTACCTACAGGAGCATAAAACAAAAAGTTTTCCAGATGGGAAAATGACGGATAAATAGAAGTTAAACAAGAGGGAGGGGTTAGGAAGTTGAATTAAAAAAAAAAAAAACTTACTCAGGGAAAGGAGTGGGGAACAACACTTTAAACTGTATTATTTATCACAATCATGTTTTGTGCCTTATGTTACCTATATTGCAAAATAGAATAAGTAATGCAATACATTTAAGATTTATGTTACAGAATGTAGATTGCACTGTTATTTAAACAAATGTATACTCGCGTATATTTTTTTTAAATAGTAGATAGATAGATAGATAGATAGATAGATAGATAGATAGATAGATAGATAGATGAATGCATGACATTAGGAACATTTTCAGGCTGGAAACATTGCAGCAGAACACAAGGAGTTAAGTAGGAGGAGGAGGGGTTGTTCAGGAAGGAGAGATAGGTATGTGCAGACAATGAAGCAGGGAGGACATAAGATTCTATAGCTGGAAGGCCACAAGAAACGAGGGCATAGTTCAACTGGTTTAAGGTGACTGGTAAAGCCAGCGAGTGGTCAGACAAACAAGAGTGCTCAGAAGGAATGAATAGAAGTCCAAAGACTTGCCTTGACCAATGCAATTAAAAGAAAATCTGCAAACAGAACAAGCCATTTTAAAATAAAATGTCAAGCGCTGCTTCCTGAATTGCTCTAGCCACACATAAAACTACATATATTGCATTTTGTCCAGCAAAGTATTCTCTCATAGCTGAGTCAATTCTGAGAGTGGCAACTTATAAAACTCATGTCCCTGGTGTTCATCCAGAAAAAAAAAAAAGTTGTATGGAAAAAGCGTGCTCATTAATTATATGCTAATTATTAATAAAATAGGGTGTATTATGTCCCGTTAGGTCAACAAAACCTCAATGGTCCCTTTAAGCAAATACATTTAAAGAACAAAGCAAATTAGCTGAAATTTCCATACACTTGCAACTTTCTAATGGTTGATAATAAATATTAGGAGGATATTAGTAGTGTAAATGAGTGTCTTAGTTCTATGTCAAAGCCATTCCATGTTTGTGAATCGTAGAGGTACTCTAAGATAAGGAAAATAATGTAAAGTAAACCGGAGCTGTGTTTCTGCTGACAGGACTTTGTCTTGGGGGCACAGACGGCTTTGAAGAAGCTTATTAAGGAATGTGCAGAAAAGCTGTTGGAAATAAGACACTGCCTGAATCCTACACACAAGTTGCTGCTGGCAGAGAGCCTTGTATATTAGAGGCGATGTAGTTCCAGCAGTAGCACCCCCTAGGATCTGAAGTTTATTCTCAAACAGTGAACTTCCTAGCACAAACTACAGGGGGAAAAAAATCTCAGCCAGGTTCCGAAAGTCCTTCCAATCTTATAAGCAAGAGGCAAAGTAGCAGATCCAGTAGGTGGGACTGAGCTGGTTCTTGCATGGATCGATTAATTGTGTCAAAAATGTCATCCACAACTTTGAGATTGGCTAAACAATCATTTCAAATCAACATCTGCTACTTCCTTTTGTTGGCATATATTTTTAGCAAGATGCAGAAATGCAGATGGCAGGCAACAAACAGGACTTCTCATAGCTGCTTTCCACTCAGTGCTGGGTGCTAGGATTATTCAAAGGTGTGCGTTATAAATAAACGTATATGGTGGGAAAAGATAATGTGTTAAGTTCTTTAAATCAGCATAATGCTGATGCATCATTTCTGACTCTGCATTATTTATTGTCATTTGCATTAGTACATGTAAAAAAGGATGGGGGGGGGGTGTTTACATTGACCGATTGGGAGGAGTTTGGAGGTATGGCTTCATGTCATACATTGTGCATATATCTCTTAGCTTACCTCACAATGATAACATATATTCATTAAGAAATCCCACCGAAAGTGTGCATAGCAGCAACTGAGGTTGTTCAATGGGTTCATTTGAATTCTTCACTTTCAGGGCTGGAAATGATCGCACTCGTTGTGATGGAATTTTCCAGGAGAGGTCATTAAAACCCATTTATTCATTTGATTATTATTGCTGTTATTCCTATACAGCTTTTATGAAGTGGCAGCAATTTGCAATGTGCCATACGATCTCCAAAAGGTTTACTGGTACCATGGAGATGAACCAAGGCAAAAGTAAACAACGCCCAGCTTGTAGGAGCTTACAGTCTAAAAAGTGAAATTTTTTACCTTTTCTTGGCAGTGAAAGTAAATATACTGGTTTACCTCTCTCACCGTAAAACCTGATGGCAGATAATAAATTATGTTTAAAAACTCAGAAATATACTACAGAAAAAGACAATCCTACGCCTACTAATGAATGAAAGGCCTCTGGGAAAAATATACAGCACAATATATACTCATGGATGTCTTACACTAGTACAAAATGTACATCCACTGCTTATGATTGAACCAAAAACATCATATTTGTAGAAATGTCTTTTTAGGCCAATAATTGTTTTAGAAATGTCAGACTTTACCCCCTAATTTTAATTTACTTTCATTTTCCACATATACACCATCTGTTTTTTTGTCTTGTATTAGCCACACTGCAAACGTCAGCACAATATCACGAAAATTTGCAATGTCCGGAAAAAAAATCCAGTTAGAAGTGTTATTCAAATTGGTATTTCCTATAGAGAATTGTGTAACCGTTAGCCGTCTAGATTGCTCAGAACACATTTGGAGAAAATACAGTGTTAAAAAAAATTCACTTACCGAAGTAATATATGCATTGAGGGGCTAATTTTGCTCCGCACACAGGTATATTGATAGATGACACAGAGAGGAAATGTATGCATTGTTCTAATGCTCCGACCACACAGAGGAGCTTCTGTAATGAAAACCAATTAATTATATAAGTTTAAAAATGCGAGGGGAGGTTATGGAGAAAAATCCTTCAGTGGTTATTTTCAATCAATAAATTGCATTGTTATATTGATTTTCTTGAACAAAATTCACAATAAATTCAAGAGCACTTAGTTACAGTGGATTTATTTATTATTATGCAGCCGTTAGACCAAAGAGGTGACTTCCCAACCACAGTTCGAGTGCACACACAGAAGTCAGCTGTGCCTACACCACCCTCTATAAGCTCAGAGCTACTTACTCTCCTTTCTCTACAATTACACCGTAATGTCGGGAACACACAGCTTGCAGAATATCTCAGATTTAAGTTTTGAAACATGAAAATGTATCTGGCTATTAGTAGGACTTGTCTAGAGTCTAAACGACCATCAAGCCTTAAGCTGGCCATACACCTTACAATTATCGTTCGATTTCTTTCATCACGTCATCGAACGGTCATTTGATTTCCGCACGACTGCTCCATCATGCACAGACCAATGTGGATTTCAATTATCGCTCGTTAGCAATACTAACTGACCAAATTTCGTCAATCGTCAGAACGGATCTTCGTTTGCACATGTGCAGTGTTCATGTTGCGATTTTTTTCGGACGAAAACACCACTAATTCTAACAAAAGTTTTCTAGGCTGCCTGATTGACCAGTTGTACAGTAATTGTGATCGTTCACCTCCCATCAACTGGCCGACTATGGTACGCAAACCCAATCTCGATAGTTTTTCGAACGATAATGGCAAGGTGTATGGGAACCTTTAGGCTGGGTGCCCATGGGCCATTTTTGTTAGCACGACCGTGCCTTTAAAATCACCTGGGAGTGATGGCTAGTGATCACATAGAGGTTGAATTACCACTAGCACTGCCCCTAGCACCCCTAGCACTACCCCTAGTGAACAGGAAATAGGCTGCTCACTTTGCAAGTGAAGTTTCCCTTACCCTGGTGAATGTTGTGAACATTCACTTTGCAAAGAAAACCCAATCACATGCAAGAGAAATGAAAAAACAGCATTTTTGCTTGCACATGATTGGATGATGGAAGTTAGCAGAGCTTCACCTAATTCACTAAGCTTAGGAAAAATTCCATTACAAAGTGAACAGTGTATTTGCCTTTAGTAAATCCACCCCATAGAGTTGGCTGCAGTAGCAATTAATCGCACAAATTTAGAGCATTGTGCGATCATTAGTGATTAATCTCTACTACATGCTACACCACATTGTTCCCTAGGTGTAGCGAACGATTGCTAATCACTAGTGATTAATTGCAGGCAATTCTGGTAGCACGATCACACGAACATAAAAAAATTACCCATGTGCATCCACCCTAAAACTTGAAAATGTAAAAATAATTTGCACGCCTGTATATAAAAAGGCTCAATAGTTTAGATTATTATATTATGGCAAGGGCTTGTTCACACCACCTCCAGACCAGATCTGGATGCATTTCTGCAAAGACGTATGCACGTCTTCAATTAGTTTTTCATGCATTTTTGATGTGCTGCATTTTTTTTTCTTAATTGGTTTTGATTGGGTTTTAAGCATGTTCCAGTGTGTTCTGGGGCATTTACATGCATTTTTGGTGCATTCCAGAGAAAAAAAATGCAGCATGCTGGACTTTTTTAAAAAGCTATGGAACTGAACGGTGTGAAATAGCCTCATTTTTACCATTGGAGTTCATGGGTGTGCATTTTTGGTCCAGTTAAAAAAAAAGGTTCTGGTCTGGATCTGGCCTGGTATGTATATTTCATAGTTCAGCCTGCTTAAAGTAAAATTCAATTGGTTGTTAATGGCTACTGCACTTTACACTACCTTATATGATCCTTGCGAATTTTACCTTTTCTGTGTAGCTGAGTAACGTTAATTTTTAAACATTATAAGCCATCTGAGGCTAAGAAAAGGCTGACCGCTATATCTTTCCATGAGATTACTGGACAGGAAGTCAGCTGTGCACAGACGAATATCTCTCCCCACGATCACCCAATTTATCTCACAAATCTTCCTTTCTGATAAGCTCCCAGAACTTTTTCAGAAATATCTTTAAATGTCATCCATAAAGCATCATGTATTTCCTGTAATTGTGATATGCACATGCAC